CTGGCGCCCCCCCACCCCACCCCGGTGTCCTTTGTGTCCCCTGTGACCACACCATGTCCCCTAGGCCATGTCCTCCGTGTCCCCTGTGTCCCTCATGCCCGTGTCCCCCGTGTCTCCTCTGTCCATGCTGTGTCCCCCATGTCGTGTCCCTTGTGTCCTCTGTGTCCACGCCATGTCCTCTGGGCCGTATCGCCTGTGTCCCCTGTGTCTTCTGTGTTCATACTATGTCCCCTATGTCCCCTGTGTCCCCCACGCCATGTCCTCCATGTCCCCTCTGTCTGCTGTGTCCCCCATGCTGTGTCCCCCCATGTCTCCTGTATCCCGTGTGCCATGCCCCCCATGTCCCCTATGCCCCCTATGTCCCCTGTGCCATGTCCTCTGTGCCATATCCCCTATGTCCCCTGTGCCATGTCCTCTGTACTTGTGCCACGTCCTTTGTCACTCCCTTGCCTATACTGTGTCCCTGTGCCATGGCACCCATGTCCCTGCTGTGTCCCCCCATGCCTTGTGCCCATGCCATGGCACCTGTGTCCCCCATGCTTGTGCAGCACCTCTTTGCCATACCTGGGCAGTGCTGTGACACCGTACCGTGTCCCCCGTGCCACGTCGTGCCATGTCCAGCCCCTGGCCCTGATGGCCGTGCCCAGTGCCATGGTGTGTCCCATGCCATGTCCCATACTGTGCCCAATGTCATGTCATGTCCCATGCCTGTGTCCCGTGCTGTGACACCGTACCGTGTCCCCCGTGCCACGTCGTGCCATGTCCAGCCCCTGGCCCTGATGGCTGTGCCCAGTGCCATGCTGTGCCCAGTGCCATGCTGTGCCCCATGCCATGTCCTATACTGTGCCCAGTGCCCTGCCATGTCCCATGCCCGTGTCCCATGCCATGCCCAACGCCTGTGTCCCATGCCATGCCGTGTGCCATGCCCATGTTTCAAGCCTTTCCCCATGCCCATGCCGTGGCTCATGCCATGCCGTGGCCCATGCCATGTCCTGCGGCAGCACATGACGCCGGTGCCGGTGCCCGCCGGCGGTGCCGGTGCCCGCAGGCCCGCCGCCACCATGCCCTTCAGCAGCACCCACAACAAGCACAAGCTGAAGTTCTCAGCGGAGGAGGAGTTCCCCGACCTCTCCAAGCACAACAACCACATGGCCAAGGTGCTGACACTCGCCCTCTACCAGCGCCTGCGCGACAAGGAGACGCCCAGTGGCTTCACCCTCGACGACGTCATCCAGACTGGCGTTGACAACCCTGGTGGGCACCGGGGTCCCCAGGGTCCCCTCAGCCCCCCAACCAGCTCAGCTGTCCCCACCGTCCCCTCGGCCAGCCCTGATGTCCCCAGGAGCCCCTCGACTAACTCTGGTGTCTCCAGAGCCTCTTGACCAGTCCTGGTGTCTCCAGAAACCCCTCAACCAGCCTCAGTGTCCCCTTGACCAGCCCTGGTGTCCCCTCAGCCAGTCTTGGTGTCCCCAGGAGCCCCTCGACCAGCCCTGGTGTCGCTTTGACCAGTTCTGGTGTCCCCTCGGCCAGCCTCAATGTCCCCAGGAGCCCCTTGACCAGCCCTGGTGTCCCCTTGACAAGCCCCGGC